TCAGCTCTGTCTCTCTTTATGGCCAAGAAAGATAACGCAGAAGGCAGTGCACCACCTAGTGCATCACCTGCACCACTCCCTGCTGCACTTGGATTGTCCCGGAGGTGAACTAACCTGACCAGATCCTAACTTGTCGGGCTGACAAGGTCACAGCCCAAGGGGGTCAGACAACAGGGTTCTGGTCCCAGCTCCTGGTCATCTCCTCGGTTGCTGCTGAAAACCCATCTGCCCTCAGCAAACTCTGATCCTATCCCCCAGTCCTCAGGAGCAAGTTCTTCCCAGGAAGTCCCAGAGGAGAATGGCTGGGAAAGTCCTATTGAACTTCCATCCATGGACACAGGGGAACAGCTAGAGGGGTGGGGGCAGTGGGTGCCAGCCTGTACCCCTGCTGAAGGACCATCTCCCATCCGCTACCTGGAGCAGTGTCAGGTTTGCACAGCCAGAGGGGGAACACTTACATCTCAGGCTGCGTGTCCTCAGGCTGTCCTGCAGGGGGCTCTGTTTCTCCTCGTAAGACCGGCACAATCCTGTGGCATGTTCTACAAAACAAGGAGACCAAGAAACCACCCACCAAAGAGCATCAGATTGGTCCCTGCACAACACGACTCTGGTTTCAACAGGCTCAGAAGGGACCCTGGCTGCAAACTGCTGAGCTGGCCTGTTTAGCAGGGGGACTCTAGCAGGACGCTGACACTGGGGCACACGTGGGATAACGGGGGGACGATGGTACCGTAGGGCATTTCAGTCAGAAGATGGCCCAGCTACTGCTCTGAAGTCTTTCCTGCTGGTTGACACAGCGAGTTCTAACTTCTCGCTGATGGGAGAATGCGGGGGACACACAACCCAGCAGCGATCGCCTCCTCCCCCAGAGGGACAACGTACTGAACTCCACACAGAGCTGGAGCAAGTGTGGAAGGATACAGTTATCCAGGGTTACAGCCTGGTGCATGGGGTAGACAGACTCTGCTCTGCTCCCCAGCGCCCTCCTCTGGCTGACGTCACACAAGACAGTCGGGCTGCTGCTACTGATCCCAAGGCTCCCCAGTGCGCTGCAGCCCTCTCCGAGGGACCCATCCCCTGGCACTTCCCCTACCTTTGGGCAGCCCCAGCTGTTGCAGCTCGCTGGACAGAGAGTCGCTGTCTACGCTGTGTTTGGCTGCACTGGAGAGGATGAAGCTGAGCACGGCAATAGTGGCCTTCACGTCCCCGGACTCTGGAGAGAGGAGGAGAAACCTTTGGGACTCTGTATGGCAGCAGGGCTCTTCCCTGCAGAGAGGCAGCTTTGACAGATCCATACAATTGACGTAGGATCCAACGTGGCCTGTCCTTTGCAGTTCATCATCTGCAAGAGACTAGAGAGGGTGCACGGACAGACGCCACCTCGCACTGGGCCACGAGGGGCAGCAGGGAAACAGGCAGAAAGAGCTGGGCTCATTGTCACCAACCTGGGTAAGAAGCAGTGATGGGCATGGGACTGTGTGTGTGTTGGGGAGGGGGAGTCAATGCAACCGGCAGGGCTCAAAACAGGTTAGGATTTAAACAAGCCTGGGACAGGCAGGGGTTAAGTCTAACTAGAATCAATTGATGCTAGGGATCCAAATACTAATAATGGCCAAGGACCTGTCCAAGCGAACACGTAGCTCGTGGCAAGCTGGGGTGTAAAGCTACCCTGCCCTAGCCAGCTGCGCACTGTCCGTGAGGACCCTGCTGCCGCGGACTAACAGCTCCCTAGGGCACTTTCACCTACTGTTTCCAAGCAGGGCAGCTTCCAGGCACACTGCAGAACTCGGGGTGTGGAGCAGGGTCCACCCGGCCACCTAGCGCATGGCAGATTTACACCCTGGCTTGCTGAAACTAACCATTCGTACAGCCAAAGCCTAAGGTTAACACTGCACAATAACCAGGCCAGTGGCGGTAAGACAGGGCCAAGCCACAGTACAGCAACTCAGCCGGGGTTAGATCATTCATAAAAACCAAACCAGACATTTCACAGCTTACATCATGGTCCCATCTGGCCTCGATTGTCCAGTCTGACCTGTGTAACACAGCCCATTGGGCACCCCTGAATTAATGCCTGTTTGAACCAGAGCAGATCTGGATTTAGAAATTGCCAGTGATGGAGAGCACTTGGGCAGTTGTTCCATCGGTTAATGACCCTGTTAAAACACCTTATTTCCAGTCTGAGTTTGTCTAGCTTCAACTTCCAGCCATTGGCTCATGTTAGACGTTAGTCTGCTGGACTGAAGAGCCCATTATCAGCTGTTTGTTCCCCGTGTAGGTACTTACAGGCTCCCATCGAGTCACCCCTTAACCTTCTCTTTGTGACGCTAACCTGGCTGAGTTCCTGGGACCGCTCCCCTCCCCTCCCCATCGCCACAGTAAGACAGCAAGTTCTGCAGGACAGGGACGGGGGCTGTTCAGCTGTTTGGGCAGCGCCTGGGAAGTTTTGATTGCTACTGTGATCACCACAACCACCAGGCCCGGGGCACTTCCACACACTCGGGAAATGGTGTTACCCCCCCGACACAAGGCCCAGAACCACCCAAAAATATAAAGCCAGGGCAGTGTTTGGGGTGAGAAGGGGGAACTCGTCAGGCTGCCGATTAGCAGCATCTCCCCCAAACAGAACAGGGGCAAGGACCCTGGGAGATTAGCAGGGCTCCTGTGCTTGCTCACGAGCAGAGTGTGCGGTTGGTTTCCAATGGCTGGGCATTAACTCTTCAGGCCTTCACTGCTTCAGGACGTGCCTCTCCACTTGTGACCCCAGCCAGCGATGCTTTTTAGGCAATGCAGCTAACAAAGCCGAGTCCGGCACCCATAAACACTGCAGGTAAAATGTTCTCAGGCCAGGGCACTGGGGTGTGGAACGGGCCGGAGGGGAGGCAAGAGTCAGACAAAGCCCGGCCTAGCATCCCAAAGCCACCGGCTTGCCACAGCCTCCCTGCCGTAAGCACAGACAGAGGAATGGCAGTTCTAGTAATGAAGCCAGCAAAGCTCCTTGGAAGGCAGGTGAGGCAAAGAGCCAAATCCACCGTGATGGCCTCACGGACAGCACTAGAGGAGCCCAGGCTACAGACACCCAATGGCTCTGGAAAGGAACAACACTCACCAAACTTGGCATCCGACGTTAG